TAAAATGCTAGAACAAATTTTAAGAAAATGGATGAGAGCTGACAAGTGGATAATGAAAACATTGATTCATGGCACCTGAAATTGCTATTGCTACGGATCAACTTCAGTGCTCGTTTCACAAAACTATGAATGCGTCCAGATTCAAAGCAATTATTAGTTGGTCAATGCAGCTTAATCTTAAATTGACTTTACTGTTGGACTAATCAGTTAACTGGACCACTTAAATCTGGCCCATGGTCAAGTAGACAACTATCAAGTGTTGTTCCATAAAACTTTGATGGAGATAAAATCAAAATTTCAGGAAAACAGCAATTTGAGTGGTATATATGGAATGAACCACCAAACTTCGTTCAATCTGACCAGCCAGATATATGATAACACTAACTGTTTCTAATATAGACAATAATAGCCTATACGTCATAGTTGTAGATTATTAGATAATGTTAAACTAATAAACTAACTCCACATGTCATACTAGTTACACGTGCCTCGTGTCAATATCACGCTATCACACACATGCGTTTATTGTTTCTAATTGTCTGTATCTGGTAGCCATATTAAAAATATGTTGGCGTGTTTGAAGAATATTTTAAACAAGATTTTAACATGAAATTGTTTAAAGACAAAGTAAAATAACATTTAAAGTCAATAAGATTGTTCTGTAGTGATTATTATCACATGTTGTAATATGACACTACTATGTTTTAGCAGGAAAATTGAAAAAAAATGGCCTTCTTAAAAAACCTTAAGTAATGCAATTCACATTCTGTACAGACTGTAATAGAGGTCACATATTTCAATGGTTTGAATGACTCTCTCCTGCACGTACATATGCAATCTGCTGAATAGCAAAAATATAAGAATTTCAACTATTTTCAATTTTGGAGAAAAGTCAAATAAAATGTGTTGACCTTGAATAATAAAAAGACTAATTCTTTATGAAATCTTGTTTTGACATTGAATATTTCTATACTTATAAACATATCAAGAAAGATTCTAAGAAATATCCTCATATCATTTTCACAGCTTCTTGGATAAAATATTTTGGTTATCAATGATTAGTTGCTATACTCAAAAGTTTGAAAGATACACAAAGTTCTTAAAACAACTTTCATAAGACATTCTATAATGGGTATGGAGAAACATCAATCACAGGTATTTCAATACAAACTAAAAACAACTAAATCAAAAGGAAGACAAGTAAGGAAAAAACAATAACACGAATTTAACAAAAACTCATGATTCAAGGTATAACTACAAACAACAATCATTTAATACCTTTCTTGGTATCCCTAGATGTATGTATTATATCAGGAAATTTATTTTCCTCTTCAGTTTCTGATAAATAAAATATTAATACTGTCATCACAAGGATAGCTACAAAAAGCTCTCCTTATTTACAGTCCTAGGTAAACTTTAAAACACTTAACTTGTCAAATACCGGTAGCTTCATAAGCTATTAAAATTAGGATATTTCAACACAAATATACTAATCAGCTATGGCAATGTAAATGTCAATATAGATGTACATCTTCTTGACAAAGCCTACCTTCTGAATGGAATTTTCAATTACTCAGAGGTGAAAAGAATGCTAATTTAGTTAACAAAGATAAGATTATAAGTACCATATTACCTACATATACATCTTTTTGAGTAAATATATGATTTTTATTTTGATCTTTACTTATTAGTTTTTAGATTTGAGCTTTCATGCAATTAGCATTCTTAGATTCTATACTTCTAATACTTCAGCTTTGTAGACATATAGAATAAAGCGTCAAACTTACCTCTAGTATTCAAACCAGCTTTTTCTAAATTATCTTTTATTTTATTTTCTATTGTTGACATTGTATTACTATCTATTTTAATATTTTCTTTTTCACCTAATTCTTTCACCTTTACCTTGATTTTATCATCTTCTGAACCTTTAATATTAATATTTTAAAGCTATAAAACAATATGGATTCCTTTGTCTCAGAATCCTGCAGTTTTCTGTCATCATTTCAATGTTGATACCTGCCTACTGACCAAGAGATGATATGGACACATCAGACATGTCAATTCGTCTGTTTTCCTCATGTGTATTGGAATTAAGATTTCCAGTAATACAGTCAGAATAATATCTAAAATATAGGTTAATTAGGTTAATATCAATTCCAATATACTTTATTTAACGTATTTTAAGAATATATACTATTCAAATCTCTGATTAGTTTATAAAGGTACATAACTATAATACACACATATATTATAAACTAAGATTGTAGTCTGTAGTCTTTTTAACAATATAAAAAACTAATGTGTATGTAAGCGTAACTCTAACTCAAAACACAGTTATGCTGTTATAAAGGGGATTCCCCGATTTTCACACCTTGCCCCAGTCCATTATTTCATTGATTTTGCCTTTGAGTGTGAGGTAGTGTACACATTTAATTGCAGCATAATTCTCAAAAATCATCATAGGTCAAAAGAAAAAAGTAAATTTGAGCAATTTTTAAATTTTGACACCAAAAATTTCCTCAGTTTCAATCCATTAAAGGCACTTTCTGACAGAAACATAATGAAAGTAGAACAGACCTTGGGCAGGTTGTTGTAATTTTTCACCAGTATATTTTTCATTATAATCAACTAATTCTTTATCAACATTATTAATTTCTTCTTCTGTTTTCTCCAATTTATCTAATAGACTATTTAATGTTTTAGACAATTGTTGAAATGCTTCTTTTCTATCTACTTCTACACCAGCTTCTTGTTCAGCCTAGAAACAGATTGTCATGCATATTATTTAAGGATTATATACAGTGAAAGAATATGAATTTGACATCCGGTTCTATTCAAATATAATGAAGTAATCAGGATATGTTTATAATATGGTATGGTTTTATAGACAAATTAGAGATACAATTTGAAAAGTCATAAATATATTAATTTGTCATAATTTACTTTCCTTGCTGATCTATAAGTAAATCAATTGATAATTTATCACAATGTGAACTAAAGTAATTGACAAAGTCAAAGTCTTGTTTTACCTCGTGAACAATATCATCAAACTGTGATCTTACAGAATCACCTATCTTATCTTTCATATCAGCAAATTTATTTCTTTGTTCTTCTAATGATTTCTTTACCTCACTTATTTCTGAAATTAAATAATCATTTTTCAATTCTGGATATCATACAGTCTTTTTAGAGATTCTTTCTAGGCAGATGACATATCAGTCAGTAAATGAATAAGGTAAAAATAAGAATTGAGTTTCATATTTTCAAAACTTTGTTCAGTTTAATAACTTTATGTTTCTTATGATATAAAGTAGAATATAATGTCAACCTGAGTCAAATTCTTTCATTATTTCTTCATCAACATCTTTAGGTGTCTCTATTTTATCTTTTTCAGTATTCTTAGTTTGAAGCTGTTCTTCTTTCTCTGACTTCACCTCATCTTTTCCCATTTTTAGTAATTTTTGTTTTTGAGCCTCTGTAATTTGTTCTCGTAGAACACTTTCTAAATCTGCCATATTATCTACATATTTTACAGACATCTTTACATCACTTGCTTCAGCTGAAAATACAAAATTATAAACACAGCTTCACAATAAAATTGGTAAATATTGAAAGCAGGGTTCACAATCACATTTACTGGATTTATTTTACAGGACCAATATGAAATTTCATTGCGAAGTTGTAATAGGTACTTTTTACCAAACACTGTATATGGTTTGTAAATTCACTATCTGGATATACTTGAGCACTATCTGATATGAATTCATTAAGTAAGTAAAGAAAGAAAGAAACAACTATATTTTACAAGGACAACAACATAGGTTCACTATTAAGGATCCTTTCTACCAGTTCGCATTGATCTTTCTCGGATTATCCGAACCCATTTACAGCTGGGTCAACTGGAATTATGAATGAAGATGACTTATTCAAGATCATCAGACTATTACACGACGGTCAAGAATTGACCCACAGCCACCATTTGCTGGACGCAACCAAGTAAATGACATCATGACTGTAAAGACACAACGCTCTAACTGTGCTATAGAACCCCACAATTAATAAGCTATACTTACTGCCTGTTTGACTGGCTACTTTATCTATCTGTTCTGTAAATACTTTATGTAAAGCTTTATCTAATTCTGGATTGTCTACAGTAGTTGTATCTTCTTCCATATTGACTACATTATCATCACTTACACCTAGTATAGAATTCATTTTATTTATTGCTCATATATATCAAATTGTAACTAATATTGCTTAAATCAAGTTTATTCAATAAATTTTTAACATATTCTAAAGATTGTTTATTGTGGATAGTGACACCTGAAAGTTATATCATTGTACACATAGGACCTATTCTTCATCATAAAATAATCCTAATAAGATCATTAAAGCATCTAACTCTATAAGAGAGAATTTCTGATTCCAATGTATGAGTAAGTTATCCTATCCTAACCACCAAAAGAAAAATATAAAAAATTGTAGGTCAGAAGGTAAGAGAAGACAACCCAGGTTTTACCTTTTTTATTAGCTTTTTGTTGAGCCTCAATAGCTGCTAGTCTTAATCTGGTTTCTTCTTCTTCTTTAGCTTTTTCTTCAGCTGCAAAAATATAATAATAAAATAACGTATGAACCAGGCATAATAAAACTAGGACAAGAATAACAAGAAACATTTACTCGTACAGGAAAGAAATTTGTTAATTAAACGCAACAAAGAATTAAAGTTCTATAGAGAGGATTCAATAAAAACAAGGATTATACCCATCTATTTTAGTTAAAATACTATGGAAATCAAAGAATCTAAACAAAATAAGTTTATATAAGAGCAAAAGATCAGTTCTTAAGGTTTGTTCGTAAGTCTCAAATCCTAATTTCCACTTTCAAACAAGATATACTGATGAGGATTTTTCATATCTGAGACAAGCATGAGATTAGTTCATATCAATTAGTGTACCATGTAAAATCTTAGATACAAAGAAAAGCATACCTGCTATTTGTATCAAGTAATCATCATATTGCTGTTGGTCTAATAGAGGATGACAGGTTATAGGTACTGGAGTTTTTGGTGCTGGTGGTTTTAAGTAAGGATGGTGACAGATTTTATTAGTATGTACTGTTATTATATAGGTACATGTTTGTGGTTCATCGATTCTATAGATATAGTCACTCACAGTATCTTCACACATAAACTGAATATATAAAAAATATATATAATCAGGTTAAATAAACCAAATAATTTAGTTAAAAAACACCTGAAGTTCTTATGACCAAAGTTTACATTGCCTGTTAAAGAATGTATGACTTAAAAATACAGAAATACCATCCATCTAGAAATATCTAAAAACTTGGTTAGTAAGTTCATCTTCATACTTTTTAAGTCTGCTCAAGTGACAAGTCAAGCCAAAACATGACAAGTAATTTGTAGAAACCATGGCAAATTTATTCAAGATAGTGTTCAGTTAATACTTACTCTGACTTCAGCTGATCTGAATCCACCAGTTAAATCACATTTAGAACCATTAGTATATTTCTGACTGTGATATCTATTGAATTCATTCCTAGATTTCATCTTCTGGTTCTGCAAATTTGCAAATTTGAGGTAGAAAAATAACTGCACACAAAAAAGTATTGAAAATTCGCGTATAATTAACCACTTCAGTGACTTCAAAGCAAAAACTCGCTATGCAACTATTATCTCATGTCAATATCTCTCTCATCTAATAAATAATATTAGCATAACTTACCCGTAGAGTATCATTATTCCAGTCAAAATCTGACTCATAGTACCCAATATACATAACATTACCACTTATTCTACCATCTATAAAATATATAAAAAAATTGGTTATTAATTAAGGCTAGTACAGACTTCTAGACATTTTTGTGTTTACATTCAAGTGATATTGTAACTGTGATTGTAAATTAGCTCATATCAATAGTCTACTGGTACCAATAATTATCATAATATAAGTTAATCTGGGATGTGATTTTTATTGGTCTAATTCACATGTTGATAACAGCAAAATGTCTGACTTTAACCACTAGGATTATTCTTTTGAAATCCATAAAGAGATATAGTCTTTGAGATGTTATTCTAAGGCTGTTGTCTGCATGGAAGCCTGGGGAGTTAAGAGCATCAATATCTACTAATGGATGAAATGAAATGATCAGTTGGTAAAACAAATGTATTATTGACAAAATTCTGTTTAAAAAACCCCAAAACAAACCTTCAAGATGATACTGTCTAAGATGTTTACCATAACAAAACTCATAACTCCACCAATCTTTTGTCTGACGAAAAAAAAAACATTTACATTTACAGAGTTAACTTTTTCTTTGTACATAAACTGCTGTAAATCAAAAAAGGAAGAAGCTGGTACAAATGTTTAAGTACAATTTTCTGCTTTGCACATTTCATAGCATGCTGTCTTTATTGACATTTCGGATATTCAATCTTCATAAGGTCAGCTAATTTGGAAATGGAAGTTGACTTTCTAAATTTGGACCTATAGCATATATATAGTAAAAGTAAATTTTACTTCTGAATACCTTAATCAAACATGGACTGGACTCCATTGGTTTTAGTAAGTCTAAGACACCAGTTTCCATGGCAACTCTTTCCTTTTCTTCTTGTTGCCTTTCTTGCTCCACCTGGTCAGGGATTCGACATTCATAATTTTGACCATATTTTGATGTTAGTTTAACAGAGCCTATTGGTGCATCCTGAAAATTTAAATAGAAATATAAACTTCTGTAATTAATCAACAAATACCACAAAAAATTAACAGTGACAGCACTGTGTTATCTAAAAATAATAATTATAAATATCATAGCTCTACCAGATACTTTTCTCACAAGAATTTTTCAACCAGAATCAGATTTTGGGAATAACTCAATGTCAAAATACACAAGCCACTGAGTCGACAAGTCTCCTAGTAATTTTGTTTTATTTCATCCGAAAAGGGAATGGAGTTCATTCGGGTAATTCAGGATTGTACATTTTTAATATGGAAAGTCATGCAATGGAATACTAGTTGCTAATATTAATGTACTTCAGTGCAGAAAGTTGTTTTATGTGTGAAGTTCACAATTTGACCATAAATCTTGTCACAGTAACGTGGTTAGACTAAAAGTAGACATTAGGGTTAATACCTACAGCTACTGTCTACGTATTTGGCTACATTGGGGATGATGTCTCTTTAAAAGGTTTTTTTGCAAGGTAACACTGGTCTATCAAAGATGATATTAATGGTCCCAGAGACATTTGAAATAAGTTGAAAGCACTGTCAATGTCATCAAATATTTAAAGTTGCCAGCGCCAGACAGGAAAAGAATCAAACGAGTTTGTAGACATGCAGTAAGGATTCCAGTTGGATTTTTGGGTTTTTACTATTTTCTTTCCCTGAGCAATGACTTAATTCATATTACAATAGATCTACTGTTGTATTTTAATAATTATAAGATAACTAAAAGTTTAAAAGCTGACTGTCTGACACTGAGCTGACTGAATACAACATCAATGACATAGATCGCACTAACCTGCCCCTGTAAAACGGGTTTGTCTAAGATGTCTATTCCGTAATGAATAGATTTAAGCTCTTCAAAATCAAGAAAGGATTCACATGCCGGTAAAATTATACAAAGTACGAAACATATTGAGAATTTTGTATTTTTTGTTTTGGTCGCCATTTTCTCATTTTCTAAAATTGTAAACTTTGGTATATCACCCGCCAAAAAAATATTCTACTTTTAAGTAAGGAGGCAAAATCATCAGATAAATAAGTAAAAAAGCTTATATCTAACATTGTTGTTTATGATGTATTGAAAATGGACCTAAATTTAAATCAAAATAGCCCTTAACATATATTTTCGTTCCATTAAATCTTTAATGTACATTTCAATGAACAACGAAACGTCAGCATTACTCTCGAATGTCACATTACACATCAAAGCGAACATTTAAGTCTGGTATAACCAAGCACATAAACGTCAGTAACACGTGCCCATTCGCGGAAAATTTGACATCGCCATCATTGATACAACTTGCATAAATGTGTAAGGAACGACCTTCTGTTCTCAATCAATGCAAACAGGCCTATTTCATAAATTTACATATAGCATACGCAGTAAGGAGAGAGGTTTAATAATGATGCTTGCAAACTGGCACACTGTTATTGTTTATTCCACCTTGAGACTTCTGAGTATGAGATATCTGCCATCTGGACCATGCTATCGATCGTCTCATAACATGTTAATACCATTACTAGGCCTATTACTTTAATTTGCCACTACCAAAAAAACAACCAGTTGTTGATATTGTGCGCTGATCAGCGTCAGTCACATGCTCTGAGACAGTGGTTCCCAAATTTTTTCGACCTTCACGCCCCCATTTGATGTGTATTTAAAATCAATCAAAATACAATAAATGAAATAATGTACAAAAGATAAAACTAGAAGTACATTAATACATATTTTACATCCTCAGAAATGTAATCTATGGGCATTTTTTCTTTCAAATGATACCAATTACATCTCTTTGCGCCTGGTTGGTGGTTGGATGAACTGACATGGAATGACCCTTCTAGTAGATAATTTTTTGCTCTAAAATATATTCTTGAGATTGAACCCAGTAGGCCTATGAGCTATGTTCTACTGCAATCTAATTTTTACTGCAACTGTAATCTGCATCCTTTTTGATATCTGTAATAATTAGACTAAATAAATGAACTTTTGATTTATTTATAGAAAAATAATTTTTGATATTAATTTTTGGAAATTTTCAAAGAATAAAACAAGATGATATTAATTTTGATAAAATTGTCAATGGAACAATCAATTAAATGTTGCAGAATATATTATGTAGAATAATGGAAATGAAAACTGGAGGTCTGCTTCAGTGTTTCCTGTTTCCTGGGTAAAAGAACAATGTGTTCCAGATAAAAACAAGATAAGTATTTGTATGTGGCCAGTATATTTAATAGGTTGTTTTATTATTGTTATTTAGACAGTAGAGTAAAGAGATGATATGCTCAGCTGATAGTAAAAAGGCGAGTGTTGTAGTAGAGTATACATTATCTACCTGTACAGTGAACCTCTATTACTAACTGTGGATAATAATTGGTGTATTTAACTAAAAAGATAAGGTAAGAGTTTTTTAGCTGTTAAATATATGTGTTATAATGTTACATCGAATATATGATATCTGATTAATCAAATGGTCAGATTGTTTTTTTTTTACTGGGCTTCATTTCACTGGTTTACCATCTAAAATGAATTTAGTTGTCAACAATTTTCTCCAAATATATCATACATTCACGGTATTAGCATTCATTCACTCTTCACTTTAACAATTAAGTATCATCTATCTGGAGATTAAGTAGATATCTGGATAGATTTTGGTCTGATCTAGAGACAGTTACATTTTCCAACCTGGTTTGAAGAGCTATCAAACCTTTCACATAAGGAAATGAACATATTTATGATAGTTCACACAAAGTGTGATGGATCCTTGAACATGAGCATTAATATTACAAGTAAATTTATTAAATACGAGTACTGCACAAATTTATTAAATACTTCACTACTTTATTGCATACTGTACTGCACAAATTTTGTAAGTACCCTTTTTACAGAAAATCTGTTTTCAAGCTCATAGATGACCTGTAAGATTGTATTTCTTCCTCAAGTATTTTTTATACTTCATTCATTTCATTTCATCTTTTACATTTATGATTTAATGAGGACCTCTATAGACTTCCCTCCATTGTCATGTTGACTATTTTAGTCACTAAAGCTAAATTTTCTTTTCAATTTTTATACACCCATATGAAATGGGGGGCCTATATTTATGTCACCCATGTCCATCAGTCTGAAAATCAGAAAAAAACTAAAAATATTTCGTATGAGTTGTTGCCCTTGTTCTTGAAATGCTCATAAACACTTTAGAAGGTGCAAAAATAAGAAAAATCGAAAAATATTTAGTATGAGTAATTGCCCTTAGTATTAAAAACACACCAGAAGGAACAATTCTTAACAGATTTAGATGAAACTTGTTGTGAGTGTTAGTAATCACCCAAGGATGAACCCTATTGAAAAATCGAAAAATATTTAGTATGAGTAATTGCCCTTAGTATTAAAAACACACCAGAAGGAACAATTCTTAACAGATTTAGATGAAACTTGTTGTGAGTGTTAGTAATCACCCAAGGATGAACCCTATTGAAAAATCGAAAAATATTTAGTATGAGTTACTGTCCATGTTCTTGAAAATGCGTTCAGTTTTCCAATATAAACACTCTAGAAGGCGCAATTCTTGCCAGTGGGCAAGGCAAGCTATTTTTAACTAGAATATTTGTGGTTTGAAAAGGGAATACACTTCAATGATCACAGTAAACAATCAGAATTTTTGGTGTTTGATTTTGGCCTTGAATATATGTAAATATTCTTCATAAGTACTAGAGCTGCATCAAAATTGCACATCTCTTCAAATATAACTCAAACTAAAAAATTCACTTCGCTGGTTTCTCTATTTTTTTACGAGTCTCAACGAGTCGTTAATGTAAATTTCAAATGGATTACTGCATGGAAACACACGGGTAAAAGGGCAATAATGAACAATATTACTGATTAGCTTAGCTAATCTAGTGAACTTGGTGTTTTGATAAAAAAAAGGTGGAAAAGTAGATACCACATGCATTTTTATTCTTCGATGACATGAAAATCATCTCATTTACCTGGGTGATTACAACAAGATGTCATCATTTAAAATCTTCATTAGACAAGAACAATATTTCTTACCACAATATGACAGGTTGCCAATATTATAGAAAATATTCTGTAAAAATGTGAATAATAGTCAATGAAATAAGAGTGTGTAATTAAGATATTACAGCTTTCAATTATTTTATCAAGTATTATGAGTGCATCTGCAAATTATTTAACTGACGGTGCCAAGTGCCTGTTTGTGCCAATATTTCTGAGACATGCTATGTGGGAATTGGAATACATTTCTGATGTTCCTTAATTATCGATTTAATTACCTTTGTTTACATTGAAATACCAGACTGGCCTGTTGATATACACTTTTAATTATTTTTACAAAGTTCACATTGAAAATGTAAGTTTATTTAGTAAGAGATCTAACAAAATTGAAATACTGTCAGACTGACTAGAAGATAAAAGTAAAAGTGTTTTCTATTTTTGGCTCAAATTGATTTTTTTTCTTCAATTAATATTGGGTTGTTCTGTCTTTGAAATTCCATGATGTTGTGTGAATGTTAAAGATAATGAGATGATTCTTTATAATCAAAGTTTGATCAAGAATAAAAATTACTTTCATGAAACTTCTACACCTTCACCCTTCAGATTTACATCCATTACATAAACAATGGTGTTACAACCTAATGACTTATGCTAATACATTGTTCTTAAAACAGGGTGGTTTCAACCTTTTTCTTTCTATTACCTCTTTCAGAACCCTCGATCGATTGCATTACCTTGGGACCCAAAAAATCCTTACTTTTTCATGATTTCCTATAAGGTTTTCTCTATGATTTTTTCATGTCCAAGGATATAGCCTGACTGAATAAAAGGACATAAATTAGAATTGTCCACAAAATTTATGCTTGACTACAAAGCACATCATTGCCCCACAAAATTTCAAAACATACATTTTCTAGCCTCCTTCCTTATTTTGATCCAGATTGCTATTCAGATTTGAACAGCCAGCCCACACCACACCACCAAATACATACGCCTGTGGTAATAGTAGGATATGAATAAAAGCCACTTTCATGAGGGGTTAAAATGAATGTTACAGTGTGTATACAAGTCAAAGAACTTGATGAACCATCTGGATAAAAAACATTGAACTTTTTCTCATCTGACATATCAGTAATGATGTAATTTGATCATTAGAAAAATACACATTATTGTGATTGTTTATTTTACTTCAGGTATTAAAGATTTTAATTACATGAGATGTAAATGTCTCCAACATTATATGTTTTGTTGAAGAAAGCTTACAAAGGTCACTCTTCTTGGCTGAATTGATATTGAGTTTATGATTACGTTTATAATATACGTCTCAAACATGTGAAGCTGGCGATCTTTTTCTGATAAGAAAGTTTATTTAATTACAAAGAGAATTTGTTGACCAAAAATTTTGATTAGTTTGGAAATTTTAGAAAAAAAGCTACAAGGTGGAACATTTTCATTTCATTTCCTGTGATAGAATGTTTAAATATTGGTATCTGATCTTATTTACCTTGATAATGTTTAATTCATTCATTAATTACATTATAGAGAGTGGTAGAAACCTGACATAAATACACGTGTATCTGGAATGAAAAGGTTATTGCCACATATTAACAGAACCAATGATTGTTCTTCATTATATCCAACCATCCCTGATATCATTATGACCCAATAAAGTTATCAAGTCCTGACAATGAAATACAGATACTTATAGGCCTGGACAACTAGAGTAGTGTCTTGTCATCTTACAAAATATTGTTTTAAAAAAATGTCCTATTTGGAACAAAATAAATCCACAGCCCTGCAATAAACCCTGAAAACTTTGA